TGTATAAGAGACAGCCCCCATCCCGCTTATATTGATCTTGCCCTCTCTCACTCCTAGTAGTTCCCTCTGAGGAAGAAGTGTTGCAGAAGTACCACGCCCTTTGCCAAAGGCATTGCTGTATCTGTTTCTGTTCATTTTGAAGGCAAATAGGTAGGGAGGAATCAGCTAAGATCTCTACAATGATAAAACACTGTCATTTTGATTAAATTCTTATCACAAAAGCAGTCCCCTCCTTTCCAAGAGTTTTGATGTCATCGGGGCTCCCACTTTTCAAAGGATTTCTTAACAACAATTGGGATAAACTTGGAAAGATATTTACAGTACATAACAAAGTCTTGCCTTGCCTTACATTACTCATTTGGAAACTGTAATTTAGAATCAAACCTATGAGTCACCAGCATAAGATTTCATTTTTATCCTTTTCCAAATTATAGAAAAATTTCAACTTTCTATGTTTCCTTTGACAAGCATCTCTGCTTAAAACTGCCAGCAGCACCAGTGTTATACAGACACTAGATTGTACAGCTTCCCTTCTTATTGAAAGGCAGCAATAAAAAGTAACAATAGACAATATTTTAGAGAATTATACATTTTGATTTAGATTGTATAAAAGACATCAGAATTTTGAAAAACCGGGATGCTTACAGGGATTTTTGCTTATTCATTTTAGTAACACAGGGAAAGGGACAAAAGAAGAAACATTGTAAACATACAACAAAATCATCTAAAATAATTCTACTGTTTAAGATAGTCTTAGAAGAAAATATTTTAGTATTTCATCTAGAAAAAAGTATGCAAAAAATTAATTTCCATTTAGGATTTTTGTGCATAATAACATTCATGTTCCTTCTTCTAGATCCTTCTAGATGTTTTTGCATACCAAAAGTAACTATGTGAACCTGTCATTTTAATGAAGAAGAAAAACCACCACATCAAAAATACAAAATTCAGAATTTTGAAAGGTTACATGGAGAGGTATACTCATTGACATTTATAAGTCTGGTTTCCTATACCCATATATCATTAATTTACTCACAAATGCACATAGCCATAATGCCTCAAGATCTTGGCAATAAAACCAGATTTCTGTATTATTTTATTTTCCTCACCCACTGTCTGGAAAGATAACACAGTGAATCTAAATTTTGCATAGAGTTTTCACTTTCCCTATAGCGTCACAAACTCCTACTTTTGCTGTTGTCTTAATTTTGCTTGGGAAGAAAAGAGAAAAGCTCCAGGAACTAAATTATTCATTCTTTTCTAGTGAAACACCATCTTTGAACTTTCTGATGTTGCCTGTCTTATATCTTATGACAGTCTGACAATATGCAATAAATGCCTGGAGAGGGGTCACAAGTCAGCAGCAGAGCACCTCAAGAGCAGCACAAAGGAATTCCAGCCAGAAAGTCAGCTTCATCAGGGGCCCAACTTATCTGCCTCTATGCAAATACACATAGCATGAGGAATAAACAAGAGGAGCTAGAGACATGTACATGCCTGCAGGGCCACGATCGTATTGGCATCATGGAGACATGGTGGGATGGCTCCTGTGACTGGAGTGTTGGAATTGAAGGATACAGGCTCTTTAGGAAGGACAGGCAGGGGTGATGAGAAGGGGTGTGTGTGTGTGTGGGGTGTCTCCCTCTATGTCAATGACCAGCTGGAGTGCATGGACCTCTGCCTGGGGATGGACGAGGACCTGACAAAGAGCTTATGTGTCAGAACTAAAGGAAGGGAGGGGACAGGAGACGTTATACTAGGAGTCTGCTACAGACCCACCGAACAGGAAGACAGAGTGTATGAGGCCCTCTACAGGCAGACAAGACCAGCCTCATATTCACAAACCCTGGTCTTCATGTGGGACTTCAACAACCCTGATATCTGTTGGAGGGACAACACAGAAGGGTATAAGAAATCCAGGAGGTTCCTGAAACATGTTGACAGCAACTTCCTTTTCCAAGTTTCAGAGGAGCCAGTGAGGAGAGGTGCTATGCTGGGCCTTGTTCTCACCAACAAGGAGAGGCTGGTGGGGAGTGTGAAGCTCAATGGCAACCTTGGCTACGGGGACCATGAGACAGGGGAGCTCAGGATCCTTAAGGCAGTGAGAAAGGCACACAGCAAGCTCGCTACTGCAGACTTCAAGAGAGCAGACTTTGATCTTCTCGGGGATCTGTCTGGCAGAGTAATGGCATAAAGCCATGGAGAGAAGAGGGGCCCAAGAAAGCTGGTTAATATTCAATGATTACCTCCGCCAAGCTCAAGAGTGATGCATCCTGTCAAAGACGAAGGCAGGTAAGAATGCCAGACCTGCATGGATGAACAAAGAGATCATAGACAAGTTCAGGCAGAAAAAAGGAAACCTACAGAGGGTGGGAGCAAAGACAGGTAAAAGAAATTTTTACAGTGCTGAACTGCATTTTTGCCTCATAATCTTAGAGATTGTCAAAATACTTTAATAATAGTATTCAGGTCTAATATATTGAAAAATCAAGAGAGAAAAATAAGAATGACACTTACACATGTATATAAATCCATCCCTATTCAGGAAATTATTTAAATCTATTCTTAAATCCTTTTCTAAATTGGGCCTTACCAGACAGCTACGTATCAGTGGTGTATCATGACTATTTTAATGTACCTCATAATTTAAAAAAAAATAATTTTGTTTTTAGATTTTAATTTACTTAAATTTGATTATTTGAGAAGATTAAGACAGAAAACATTCAACTGAATGTTTCAGAAAAGCAATCAAGGTATGTATATAAATACTATGAAGGAGATTAAGCGTAGTTTTAGAGCTCTGATATTTTTACCACCTGTAGTTTCATACTTTGGTTCATGTATGTTCCTAGACCTAGACACAGAACTAACATTACTCCACCTTGCTACCAAAGAAAACCTACATTCTATTAGGAAACTGTTCAACATTTTATGAAATTAAGCTCTGTATTTATAATAAATGTATCCAGTTATACACTTGTAACATAACCATACTCCAAAATTCTCTCCAAGCATGTTCCCAATAATGCATTTTCTCCTGGAAACACAGATGAATTAAATCTGAGGCTGCAAACAGAAATTACATTAATCCATCTTGTAGCTTACAGTAATGTAAATTTCCTAACCTCCTCATTTATATTGCTACAAATGTCTCATTAATTTGTTATGCCCTGAACTTTTGTTCTTTATACTGCATAAGAGCAGAGGAGTAGATAAACTACATGCAGTGTATCAAGAGGAAGGAGCAAATTATACATTTGACAGTTTCTAAGTGATTTCCACATTTTCCATTTATGTATTTCTGCTGCAAGTTATCACTTAGGCACTAACACTTCCATTAAATTTTCAAATGGGCTTTCTCTCTGTATAGAGCTTGTGGAAATGAAACAAATCATCTGTTACATTGTTCAGATTGGTTGCGTCTAAGGTCTGTTCCCTGTTTTATACTGGTATATTAAATTCTGGAAGAAGGAACTTCACCATGCTTGTATTCTTCCTATTATTGTGTGACTGCAACAAACAGTAAAATAGTACGTATTTATGAAGATTTATCTGGAAATGAATAAGAATTAAGGTATCTTGTCTACAAAACCACTTTATCATTTCATCTTCAATTAGTAAATGTTAAAATAACATGTTGTGTGGCTGGAAGGCTATTATTCCACACCTGCCCGTTTTGAAGACTTCAGTGCTTGTTTTGAAGTTATGCTGGTCAGTATCAGACACAAGACATGGACTAGCTTAAAGTGGGGTTGGCAGTGACTATATGAAGCTACTATTAAAGGCATGAAATTTTGGAGCAGTCTACTAAAGGAATGCTTAGTATTCCTTCTCTAAAAATTCACGAAAGATGGGTTGGAACTTTATATATATATATAT